AAATATTTTCCCAACAATTAATATTTTAACTCAATGACATTAGGTGACATTATTGTGGCACATCAGTAAAGCCTTAAATAGAAATATATAAGGTGGCAGACATCATTTAATGAATTTTAACTGAACAATAATTGAATAAGTTTGTCGCACTCTTAGACCAGCAGGGGTACCAAATCTATGCAGACTGCTGCAATAAGTACATTAATTAACTGTCATCTATGTTTGTCTGAATTAATATGATACTATTAACAATCATATTATTCCTATCAGCTGTCAATCACTGTTATGATTCACATTCAGTGTTATTATTAAATAAACTATATTTTTTGGAGGAGTTAATGATGAATGTTCCTCAAGATGCTTGCTCACCCTCCTTCAAATTTGAAAGACAAGTTACTATCATATATCAAAAGAATCAAAAGAACAGTGCAGCGCCCCACAACTTCATTGCAAACAGTTACAACCTTGACTTTACATCAGAAAGAACAAACATTAAAGAAGAGACTAACTGCATCAGTTAGGGTTAAAAAACGTGTATTCAGCTAAAACACATCGCTGCAGTTAATATCCAGTGGAATTACCGGCCTAGTTAAATCAAAGTGGTTACTTTATTTTGACTGGGCAGTGTAGTTTTACACACTGTCTTATTTGACTTTCTCAGGACTTAAAACTGTTTTTGGGGGCAGACCCCCTCAAAGAAGAACAATTGTATACACACGTAAGGTCATCATCTTAACCTTTTTTTATGCTCATGGAGTCATCCGTGAGCAGAGCATCAAGTTGGCATGCCTATAAAAGCTGAATGCGGCGATTACCATCTTGTTCAGCAAAACGCCTCACAAACTGATTAAGATCCAAAGCTTTAGTGCGTTTTGATTCAATGCTGAGTACAGCCAAACTTGACAGTCTCTTCTCTGTCATTGTAGACCGCAAATACCTCATTCCTTCCGTCTACTTGGATACGAATGCTTCTCGTTTTGTGCCGTGCCGAAATGAAATCGCCGGCAATCATATTTCCACGCTGGCGCCGGGGGAGGGGTTAAAAGGCTCGCGTCTTGTGCTGCATTCACTTGCACTCGGACATTAGAGATTTTCTCTCATAAATGTCCGATGAGCTACAACTTTTCTTTCAAAACAAAGCTGCCAACTGGGGTGGTAAATAGGGTGGCAAGGCATTTTTCTGAGGTGGTGGCTGCCACCCCGTGCCACCCCGTGGAACCGCCACTGGGCTGCTGTGATCACCAATGAGAAATCCTCACCAGTTTATAGGTCTGGTATCTTCTTTGGTAGGTTTAATTCCTACCTCATTCAGTTCGAAAGGAGTGTGGTGAAAGACCATTCACCACACTCCTTTGATATTAGTTTAACAAAGGAGATTAAGACTGGAGTTTACACTTTCAGGGTCTAGGGATATAGCAGTATAGTGGAGGAAGTAAAACCCAAGGGAGACAGGATATCAGTCTCAGGCAGACATGGGGACATTGCAGAACAGGTATCTTTCAAATGGGTAACTTGTACCGAGCCTGCACATATGGAAGGCAAGGCAAGGCAAGGCAAGTTTATTTATATAGCACTTTTCAACACAAGGCAATTCAAAGTGCTTTACAAAAAATGAAAGACATTAAGAAAATGGCATTTAAAACTGGAAAATCAGGGCCAGTGAGTGTGTTGGGACATAATATTTATGTTTGAAAGGGTTTAAAACAAGTCTTTAATATGGGTGTTACATTTCAAGACATGCTGAAGTGTATTTGGCAATTCACTCATTGAAAGCTAAACGAAAACAAGAGAATATTTTCTTTTAAAAAAGGAAAAAGGTCATTTTGAACAGCCATGATGTATATTTCCCCAAGGAGACAACTACCACTTATCTAAGACCTGATCTTGTGTTTTTGTAAAAAAGAAATGTTATAGTCAAAAGCATTGCTTTATCAAGGAGAGGCGGAGATATGTGGCTGAAAACCCAGTCATCCCAATGGAGTTTGGCTGTAGTTTTTATTTGTTTTAATTTTGACTGATTATAGATCTAAGAGGGTGAAGCCAAAAGGCAGGAAGTGAATAACATGGCCAACTCTGCAGCCAGATCTAGTGATTGTCTGAGGTTTAGAATAAGGGTGAAAGACAAAAATAGGTAAGTAAAAACATATAACGTGTATGTGCTCTGCCATATGTGTGTTTGGTGTGTTGCTTGCTGAGATGTCTGCCTGATTTGTTTGGTGGATTGAGTGGCATGCTGCTGATGAATAAATGCTAGCCTGGCAGGCTGTTGGAACAACATGTACCTGTGTTGTTGGCTAATTGTGAAAACAAAAGTGTATGCTAATGTTGTTTGACATAAGTGTGTGGTTTGTTGATTGACAAGCTGAGGTGTCTGTACAACATTGTTTGCTCATTAGGCATGCTAGTTAGCCAGACATGTTGGTCGCCTTACAAGTTTTTTCCTTGCCAAAAATAAGATAGCTGAGGGTTATTATTTCTCCTTGTTTGTTTGACTTTCAGTGTTTAGCATAAAATGGTCTTGACATTATAGACCTCTTTTTGATTTGGTTTAGTCTGCGGGTGCTGGTAGAGATGGTGGATGGTTCATGGACCATGCATGAAGGGACTTTATGAATATTTGTTGTTGGCCCAACTCAAGAAGCACCAGGTATTGAGATGACGCCCACCTCCTGATGACCCTTTTGACCCACATGTACTCTTAAGCTTACAGAACAATCATTTGTATACCATTTTCCTTTATTTTGTAAGACTGGTTAAGGGTCATAATTCAATCTTGGGCTTCCATAGAAACTTTTTTCCAACATTTGACACATACAGAGGTTAAAGCATTTAAACAAAACCATATGCATGTCTTTCTCTTTGGGTAAAGAACACCGTTACATCTGTGTATAATTGACACATAGCATATGTGGATATTGATGAGTGACTATTGACCTTTTTGTAAGACCTGTTTAAGTAGAAAATATAGCCAGAAAATACATGTTAGTGTGAGTTTTTGTTGTGTTCGTGTCTCAGCCAACTGATCTATTATTTTCAATATAAAAGGTTATGAAGGCCTACAGCACTGTTGCAGAAATGTTTCATTGTTTTTGCAGCTTTTAACCTTTTTGCTCTTCAGGAGAATTATTCATGAATCACAACAGCCACTCTTCTTTGTTAATGTGTAATTTGGATTATATAATTGCTAAAATGCATTATAATACACTCCAACGCTGATGGAGGGACCCTTTTCTTTCTGTGAGGCGTAAATAGTCGCTCCTGAGAGGAAAATGAGGGCCGCTGGATAAAGATTGACGAGTACATTCAAGATAATTTGGAATACTGATTTCATAAATAATGAATCATTCCAAAACATACATCTTCAGTGCTTGTCATCTATTTAACTTTGTGTTACGTTACATGTAGCCTATAGCTAATGCTTAAAACTAAAACCATAAAAGAAAATTATATTCAAATATTGATTACATTTTCGTGCAAATTACTGATTTTAATCCATTAGTATCTAAAGTTAGATACATTGATTGGTATATATTTTGCACACAGCTCTTTCTTGTTCATATATTTTGTGAACATCATTGTGCTCAATATGTCCATGAACTTACCACAGATGTAAACATTGTGCTTTGAATTACAGCTGCATTTGGTGTCTTTGTTCTTCATGAATAACACGTTTAAATTCATTAATAAGTTGCAGTACTCTTTATTCTCCTCTCTCTTTGCTGGGTCTGGTAACAGTTTTTCACTGATTGAACTTGCACCAGCCCTACATTTACTGTGATGAAACTATTATTGGAGTGGGTGGAAATTAAGCAGTTTAAGCTCAAAGGCATTAATGCCTCCCTCCTACAGCTGTGGCTGATTGGAAATAAGGACATGAACACATCATAATGTCCTTATACCCACTCATTAAAAAAGCTATTGGAAGAACAAGGGTGCTGGGTTTTTTACAGTTGTTTGTTGTTTAATGTGTCCAATGAGCTCTCAAGTGACTCATCAGGTAAACTGCTAAAAAGTGCTCTGAGATTGGACTGTTCTTTTGGGAAAGAGAGGGGAGACAGCAGGAGCATGCTTACAGGAAACCAGAGATTGGCGGAAAGCATAAATGAGGCAGAATAGACTAAATAACCTGTTCCTGTGGGACCAAGAGAACTATATTACTGAAAAACTAATGATACCTGCCTGACATTTTATAGATCTTAAATGAAAATATTGTAAGGGAAACCTCTGCAGCAATGGAGAGTCGGGACTCAGAGAGACACGGGGAGAGTTGGAGCTTTGATGTCAAACACTGATGGTTTATTACGAGTATCGGCCGGAGGATTCACATCACAACTCACACAGCCAGAGGTTCTGACTGCACGGGAGGGTTGCCACGTCAATTCTGAAGAGCCTCTCTCTCGATAGACCTTTTAACTAGTTTACAGAGAGTAATCAACATATTTGAGATAGCCTAAACATCTGGGGGCACTGAATTATTTGTCTGACCCTTAATGGCCTCGAAGATTACACACCTTGGAGTCCACAAACACAAAGAAGGAAGTGTTCCAGCGTTCTCACAGCCATAAACCATTTGTGGCCGAGAGTTGACCGGTCATAAGCTGGGAACAGCCCNTTGCAAATTATGGTGGAAAATAAGTATTTGGTCACCTACAAACAAACAAGACAGAGGAGGCTCTTAAAAAAGAAGTTACAGGTCTGTGAGAGCCAGAAATCTTGTTTGTTTGTAGGTGACCAAATACTTATTTTCCACCATAATTTGCAAATAAAGTCTTTAAAAATCAGACAATGTGAATTCCTGGATTTTTTTTTTTCTCATTTTGTCTCTCATAGTTGAGGTATACCTAGGATGAAAATTACAGGCCTCTCATCTTTTTAAGTGGGAGAACTTGAACAGTTGGTGGCTGACTAAATACTTTTTTGCCCTACTGTATATATGTGAGCCAATGCCAATAGCTCATTACAGGCCTTTTATGTGTACTTTTCAATCAATCAATCAATCAATCAATCAATGTTTATTTATATAGCCAATATCACAAATGTTACATTTGTCTCAGTGGACTTCACAGTTTGTACAGAATATCAGTATGACAATACGACACCCTCTGTCCTTAGACCCTCACATCGTACAAGGAAAAACTTCCGGAGAAATTCTTGTGTACTTTTTTTCATTGTCTCATGTTTTCAGAAGGTGTCTCTTATCGAGCTGTTTCTGTCTAAAGATTTGTGAAAGAAAGGTGAAGTTGAGAGCAAATAATCAGCATTTTAGTTAAATGCAAGAACGGTCAGTGTGGTATATATTAAAGCAGCTCTGAAAGCTTTAGCGGCTGAGGATTGCCCGGTGATTTGGCAAGAGTTGATTTTCCACTTGGCGAGGTCAGGAGGCTTAGCTGTAGCCGTGTCTCTCTGCAGCGTAGGGCCAGGGGCGCTGCGATGCCTCCTACACTGTTCTGGAAGGAATTAAACTATTACATCCTCATAAAGACACAACGCAACGACCCACTGCTCAGTACGCTGCCTTTGAGAGTCAGCCAAACATCTGGTGGTGCTCTGCCATTCAAGCTCCTCTAGTGTTTCAGGCTCCATTGCTGCAGAGCACAGTCCAGGTCTGTCCTCCAGATCTCTGCTGCCCCGCTCAGCTTGGCAGACCACTGATGTTGATACCAAGCGCCAAGCAAAGCCAGTATTTAAAAAAAATGGTTTAGTTGATTATTAATGTTTTGGAACACATTCTGGTTTGTTTAGTTTCCTCTGGCAGGGTTTCTCTTTCTGGCAGCGATGCTCCTTTTGTACTGCTTTCTACTGAAGCTGGCTCTGACCCTCATGGCATCCAGACTTGAATGGCTTTACGACAAAATGCTTTTGGTGAAAAATGCCTTTATTGCTTATTCATCCCAAAGTTGTAAAACGACACATACAGGAAATATGATATTTAATAATATACTAACATAACAGGTGGGCAGTGTCACATTTACAATGATCCGAAAGTGATGTTGATGAGGATGTTGTACTGATCTCAAGGTCAGTGTTGATGTTTATCTTCTTTGATGCTTTTCCAGTGACATTTGTTAACACCTGGTCCATTCACGCGGTCTATGTGTAAGACATTTCTCACAGGGAGGCAGTGATTCATTGTTGCTGTTCGATTTTAAAGGTTATTCTTTCAAAGGCCCCTATGGCTAGAAAATGAGAGGTATAGTCCTCCAGGTGGATCAGGAAGAGGAGAATGAAGGCTGAGGGGCAGTGTAAAAGAAGATGATTTTTACATGGCTGAAGTAGGGCTGCTCAATTAATCGTATTTTAATCGCAATTACGATTATGGCTTGCAACGATTACGAAAACAACTTAGTCGAAATAAAACGATTATTTTTTTATTATTACTTTTTATTTATTTATTTCTCAAATATTTTTTTTTTATTATTGGTTTTTCAGTTGAATTATACTTAAAGTTCAGGGTAATCAACTGTTAACATTCAATCTAGTACAAAATGTGACTGTTGTACCTTTTCATGGAATATAATAGGAATAAGAAATACAGAATGACCTCATTTATAGGGTCTCGACGGAACGGAGACAATTAGTAAAACCACAGACTTTGCTTACCGTCTAACTAAGACCGAGTTTGTCGTCTCTAATATTGTCCCCTCACTCTATTATTACTAATTGAAGAATTGCCGGACGTGGTCAAGTCTGTAGCGGGAGTTTGACGGGAGAGAATACTGTTCCTGGAAACCTACTCCCTTACTCGTGGTTTTGTGACGCCCCTCTACTAAAGAGTTGTTTCAACGACCTTTACAAACAGTCACCAGTATAAAATGAAAAATCTTTGACATTTGCTAATAAAAGTCAACTAGATTAGTCAGGAACAAAATTAAACCGAGACAACCACGATTAATCTACATTAAGCACCGAGTATAGTACGAAAGGGGGACATTCAATTGACAACATAGCGAACCTTATGTCAGCAGAGGTCAGAACTAGTATTGAAAAATAAATTGGAGAGAGGCCATCGTAAGGGTGAGCGAAGTCGGATCCGACGAGCTAAATACCGTACTTGTAGTATTAGAGCTATAACCCAGGTTATTAACTATAGTGCTAATAATTTTTGCTAATAGGTAAAATGAAAACTTTGTAGTTAAATAACTTTTTTTTTTTACAC